ACTTTCTGTTAGTTTTGTACTTTTTACTACCAAGGCGAGTTCTGATCGGTTAACTGCTTTTCCGCTTTTCCGTCAAGGTGTGAACCCGCCCCTGCCTGCTAGAGCTTTTCCCCAAACGGTTCTCAAATTATATACACATAAATAAATCAAAAATATTCAGTTTGTCTGCTATCTTGTCAGTGGTTATCTCACGGCCATATCAAGCTGTATGCGGCCATGTTAAGCACGCGTGGAGGAATGAATTAGGGTGCCGTCCCATTAAGCACGGATCGAAAAGACGGATCGGGTATCTCACTAGAATTGAGCATTCCGTTCCAGTTCCGTTCCGTGACAGTTTTCTCTACCCGTCCCATTCAGCAAAAACGGAAAGGAATCTAGTTACAAAATATATTTTACCGTTACAATTCAATATTTTAGAGAACTCACAACAATATTATCAGCAAGATAATTGCACAAATTATATGTATATTATTGCTTCAACTGCTCAAAATAACGAAATATCGATGAATCAAGCATATTTATCAACGATCGACGCGACATTCCGTTCCGTTTTTGCTAAATGGGACGGGTAGAGAAAACTGTCACGGAACGGAACTGGAACGGAATGCTCAATTCTAGTGAGATACCCGATCCGTCATTCCGATCCGTGCTTAATGGGACGGCACCCTTAATGAAGACAAGTGAGGACGTTTCGCTATAAATGAGGCTGCCCTGAAATTTTCAAGGTGCGTTTTCCTTATCCGCCACTTTTTACAAACATCTCTCGTTGACCGTTGATTGTCGCCAGAAGTTAAGCAACTTGAATAAAATCGATCGTCAACAAGCGTCGTCATGTGAGACGTTTCTGTTGTCATTTACGATACATCTGTGTATTGTTTTATGATGTAAAACAGATTTGCTCTTCTCGGCTGTGCGTTACGAAGCTTTCCCCGGTAGATTGTAAGGGACAGCCGGCAAAGCATGGCATGGCACTGCAATGGTACTACGAACCAAGAAATGGTGACGAAGCTGAAAGGTAAATGACTCCTGTCATTTTCACAGGATTGATGCATAGCAAAAACTTAATTGTCGCAATTAATAGCACCTGAGTCTACTGTTCGTTAGAGTTACAATTGTTCGCTTTGTATAGCAATTAAGGACAGATTATTCGCAGATGCTGGTATATTGGCAACGGACAGAGCAGAAGCCGCTATGCTCGCTGTTGACAGAGCCAAATACTGCCACGAATCAGATCCTTATCTCGATCGTCCTAGAAGAATTGGTTACAACGTGACTATCAGTGCACCACATATGGTAAATGTATATCTTATCATAATTTTATATCCTAGCTGTTATTTGCATAACTGATATTTGTATGCCTAATTTGCTTGCATAAAGTATGATACAAATAGAAAAGGTATATATTTCACAACTGTGAAATGTATTAAACATTTCCAATAAACGTCAATTAAAAATAGTATAATATCAATATTATAATTTCACATTCAAAATAATATAATAATAAGTTTAGTAAAATACATTTTGACATTGCGCTATCTGATGTTGTTGACATCAGGTGTTACGTATCTGCAAATTTGCTTCTGTAATGTAATAATGGATCCTGCGCACTTATTGTTTGCTAGTTACCAGTTTTATACGTGTATTTTTTATCTTTTAACGGATTATCTACAGATATAAATGATAAGAATACCATATTTTATACAATCTGACTTTTAAATTTTCATCTTATTGACTCAAAGTATGAAGAACACAAACGGAGTAATTTTTGTAGGATAACGAATTTTGTATAATGAATTTATCTGTATTTACTGTAACATAGAGAATGATCCAATCAAAGTCGAAACATTTGTTGAACATCGTAGCTACATATATTATTATTATTTGAATTAAAGTTTTTTGATTTTGTTAGATTGTCAGCTTTTTGCTCCTTTTTATTTATATTGTAAAATACATTTTGTTTGTACAATGAATAAGTTTATATGACTCATCTTACCATGACGTTTATACAAAGTGTGATATAAATACATGAAATAAATATTTTACAACTGTGAAACATATACCAAACATTTTAACATTAAACAAAGTAACAGTCCAGTAACATTAATGCTATAATTTCACATTTAGCAATATAAATTTAATAAAGCACGTATATGTAACAGTTTCATTGTTAAGTGTAAAGTTATAACATTGTTGTTATGTTACTTTTAATTAACATTTACTGGAATGTTTACAAAAATATGTAATTAATAATTTAAACGGCATAAACTATTCATATAATTCTTATGTAATTTTATGATAAACAAAACTATGAGCGAATTTTTGTGATGCTGTTTGGCATTAATTTCTTTCTATTTTCTTACATAAAGTTAGTCACACATTTAAATATTATAAACAAGAATGAAAATGTTGAGATAGGAGATTTTATTTTCTTCTATTTATCAGGAATATAATTTGAAACGGGGTTATTAGAATGTAACCTCTTTATTTTACTTTTGTTATTTATGTTAAACACATATTTGATTTAACAACTGAAGACTTTTCAAACAAAGATATTGATCATCACACAGAAAAAGAAAATTATCACCGAAGATATATATTTCTTAAGGTTTATTCTATTCGATAATGATTTGATAAATTTCATATTTCTTGCAGCACGCATATGCATTGTCTATCCTCTCCGATCAACTCTTCGACGGTGCCAAGGCACTTGATGTCGGCTCAGGCTCAGGCTATCTATCCGCCTGCATGGCATTCATGGTAGGCTCAGGTGGACGCATAATAGGCATCGAGCATATTCCCGAGCTCATAGAGATCTCCACTAGGAACATGCGCGAGGACAATCCGCACTTCCTCAAGGAGGACCGCATCAAATTTGTGGGTAAGCTGTCGGTACTCCGTTAACGTTCCCTCTGTTATCGTCCCTGGTAGTCCTCACTCAGACAGTCGAAGCTCCTTCTCTCGTCAATGTTACGCCATTCCTTTACGTCTCATTATCATAAATGTAAGCTTCGTGTAAAGTTCATCGCACGATGAGAGAAAACGTTCAAGAAGTATTACATGTATGCATAGTCTGAATAAAAGATACCCGTAATCTATCCACGTGGAGTAGGTATGTACGTTGCCGTGAAGAGTCGAACGGAACACTGTCCACCAACTGTGTGGCTTTGCTGTAAAGGTAAAAGATAAAGACTGCCGACTAACGACAGGTCATTATGAATGCGCCTAGTGGGAGACGGCAGATTGGGACATCCTGTTGACGGCCCTTACAACGCTATACATGTTGGAGCAGCGGCCGAAACTTTACCGGAGACGGTGAGCATGAACGGTGTAACGCTAATACACTGTCTATTAAAAAAGGAACATATGTAAGAGCTGCGTTCCGTTATTTGCTTGTTCATAAATACGATAGTCTAGGTTCACAACCCTAGAAGCCATAAGCCCTAAGAAATTGACCAATCACAGTCGATTGAGCAATCAAAGTTTTTTATCTTATTGAAAGAAAAAAAATTAAGGACTTTGATTTATTTTCTTATGCATTATATGCGTTATGCATTATATGCATATATGTGCGCCCGTCCTTACATTAAATTAAAAATTTTATTGTTGACCCCTTACACTATATTATAGATCCAGTACTCGCAATAAATTTTATTTTACGGAACGTAGCCGTAGATTACGACACATGTGTAAACGATGTAATTTTTGTATTGTAGCTGATTGATCAACTGGCTCCCGGAGGTCGACTGATCTGCCCAGTCGTGGCCATAAAAGGTTTCCAAAGGTTACAAGACCTGCTGCAGGTGGACAAGAGCACAGACGGTGCGATCACAAAGAAGAAGCTGATGCAAGTCTCTTACGTTCCTCTCACGGATCCTACCACTCAATTACGTAATTAGAGTCACTAAGGTGAGGTGTCACGGCAGAAAAAAAAACGCAAAATTTCCAAGCAGATGATTAAACAGTCGCTTACAAACCCGATTAGCGATAAAATCAAAATTTTTGTATCTATAAACTAATTTTTTTCACGCATGCGTAGATGGAGTGCACGTCGTCTTTGGGGATATCAATAAATTATATATATTTTGTACATACCCTGGTTAATTCCTTCGCATTGTCCATTTTTTCCATTAAATTAATGTATTAAAATCGCAACTATGGTCGTTTTCCTTTTAAGAGACACATAAGTCATTTTATTTTTCTTGACATTCAATAAAAACAAAGATTGAATGTTATTTGTATCGACTGTGTCATTTAAAACAGGGCTTAGCACGCGATGCAACTTTCGGCCGATTTTCGAATCGGCTTCGCCTTCCGCTGTCCCTCACCTCACCGTTTCGCGTGCAATCGTGCAGCATTTGGACTGCGCGCGGAACGGTGAGGTGAGGGAGACAGCGGAAGGCGGAGTCGATTTGAAAATCGGCCGGAAGTTGCATCTAAAAGGAAAGCAGCTCATATGTTACTTGATATAAATATAATGTTATTGCGTTATCATAGTCTATTACGTAATACTAATTTTGTTGTAATAATACTGATATTATTTTTCCGAAAGTATCTTAATTTATACTGGAAACTTCCATTAAGATGTGAAAAAAATTATAAGGAATGAATAATTTAAAGTATGAATAAATAATAGAATAAATTGATTATAGAGAAATAAATATTCAATAAGCAAATAAAATATTAGTTTTATATCTTTATACAATATATATATATATATATATATATCTAATTGCTCGTATTGTCAAGTTTGGCGTTTGTGTTCAAAAATTCACTCATTTATATGGACAAATATCTCTCAATCATACTTTGAAGGAAAGATAAATCTTTCTACACTTTAAATTAAACTGCCAACTTCATACGGATTCTTCAACAGAAGTAGCGGTCTTAGGGGCTTAAGTCGTAAAAAATTGATCAATCATAGTCGTGAACTTTATTGGGCGAGGAGCGCACTGATATTATACTGGATATTATACAGTATTAGTGCGCTCCTCGTTCTGATGAAATAAACAAAAAGTTTACGAAACGTTGACACTAGCAATAGATAAAAACATGGCGATAACCCACAAACACTCCGGTATATATATCTACAAGCAAATCTAAATAAGTATATCAAAAAATATAAATAATACGTAACTCAAAGAGTTTATATCTTATCTTAAATAAAGATTTACCTTGTATTGATTTTATAGGTAATCCAGTTAAATGCAAATCCTAGAAAATCTCCCGAACGATGAGTCACACGACTTATCAGTCGGCTTTCCAATATAATTGTCTATATTGGTCATAGTCCTACACATACATACGCGGCTATCTACACAACTAGATAGATAGATGATCGCGTCTGCTTATAAACAGGTCCAGTAATCACGAAAGCTTGAATGTTGTGGTAAATAATTAATAATTATATTATAATGCGATTTGCATTGCTGTTATATTCGGTGAATTGATAGCAATGATATAAACTCGTACTCGTTGAAATCAAACTTTTAATTATAATAGTAAAACCCTCAAAATTTTTTTAACGAAAGGTAGTAAGGAATTCCTCTATATGTAAAATAAAATAATATTAACAATTCTTTTTATAAATCTACTAATAGTTGCTTACATTATTGTGATCCTTGCTTATTATAATTTCGCGATATTAGATGCGTATATTTCTTCGCTATTTCATGTGATTTAAATAATATTTACTTCTTTTAACATGCGTAGAAGATCGTGTAGAAAACGCAATTATGCTTTATAAAAATTAAATATATAGCTATATTTTCACCTTTTTAGTTTGCAGATTATCATCGTTCAAGTTACTGCGACAGAAGTTTCAAATGGCAAGGCGGCTTGTAGTTCGTCATCGTAACACAGCGATACATCCATAAAAGCATCTGCGCGGAGACGATAAAACCGATCCAATTCTTTCCACAAAACAAGATCGAGGATAATGTATAGAGCAAAATAAATTGATCATAGAATCGACGTTATGGTATCCGGGTTCGCTTCAATATCAAAGACAATGATTAATTTGTGAAGTTAATATTTAATAACAAAGATAAAAGCTGTTATAGTTCCTTCTTTTTTTTTCGATAAAATATCTCACGGCCTTTTGCCGAAAAAACTTTAGTGATTTTAATTTTTCAAACACGGATCACTTAACTGACAATGGAACATTCCCAAGTGTCACTCTGATTTCAGGATGAAACTCTAATTTCGATTTCGCCTTTATTTGTAAAGTAATTTATTGTTTCAGCAAAAGTCCTCTATCTCAATCGTTTTAAAGATATCGTGATGGAAAGGAATGACCCCTTTATGTATAACATACGCACTATATTTTCGTTAATGTCAATAATAAACTGATGAAATTTGATACATTATTAATATACGAAAAACATCTTGCAATCACAGTCATACGCAGTCGAAATTATTGGTCTTCGATACGCTGTCTTCAAGTAAAAGGAATGTCATGTTAGGAAAAAAGAACGGAATGTTTGAATTTATTTATTTATGTATAAATCCTCCGACCATGCGATTGACAACTATGTTGTAAAACTTCGTATACGTAGAGAGAAACCTGAGAGTGGAGAAAATTTACGTTTTTCCCGTTTCTCCAATGTTTTCAAATGATTGATTTTTTTTCTCGTAATACCAAAAAATTTGTATCTACTTGGATATTAATCAAATAATACAGATAATTCTATCAAATCCGTCTTATTTTATCGCTTCATAGTTCGTTTACTTTCAAATCGAAATGAACACATATTGATACGAAAAGAGTAAAATAAAAATTAAAGCAGATTTATTGTCAATATTGCACTGGAAAATGTTATTACTTTAGAATTCTTGAGACAACTTTTCTTTCATATTTTGTATTCCAACCAAAGTATATTGCAAAATTAAATATCGTGAAATTACTACATCTGTTTGGAAACGCAATGATGAGTTTTTTTTATATCCGCGAATTTTTTTTATCTACTTCAGTTAGCATTTAAAAAATGTATATACAGCTAATATGAATTTATTTCTTTGAGCATACCACGCGCTGAACACCTTTTACACGTATACCTTTACAATACTTAACTATTACTTATCATAATATTAAAGAATTTCGTATAAGGTAAGCTTCCACTACAATGCCTTACTGATGAGTCCAGTAGTGGAAGCTGGGACAAAACGCCATAATTACATGATATTCCTCACAATATATTAATTTAAAAAGATTTTTAACTTAATTTATTGGGGCTCATTGCCCTGTTTCTCTATATTAATTGTTTAAAAACATATTGAGCCTTATTACAAACATTAAAAAAAATTTCTTTTATTTGTTCTGTATGATTTTATTCTGATATTCGGCAAAACTGTTACATTTAAAAATACCGATGTATAAACAAACATTAGTTGAATTAATGATTCAAGTGGAAATGAATTAATTACATTAGTATTCTCGATCACGCGCCTAGATTTATTCACTATCGGAGCCACTTTCGCCCGTCGCACTAGCGGAACCGCTGCCAGTACCAGATTTTGATCTTGATGGCGACAAGGACCACGAGGTCGACCAAGATCCTGATGGTGATTTCGCAGGCGTTCCTGAGCGCGATCTCGATTTGGATCTTGATGTGTTTCTCGATTGAGGACTACCGGATCGAGATCGTGATCGTGATTTACTACGTGATTTAGATGGCGAACGTGACTGAGAACGCGAGCGCGATCGAGATGGCGATCTAGATTTTGATGGTGAATGTGATCTCGACTGCGAACGCGAACGTGATCGCGATCTCGATTTTGATCTTGACCTTGACCTCGATTTCGAACCAGACTTGGAACGAGATCGCGACTTTCTACTGGACGCTCGCGAGGATGCTCTTGACGACGCACGCGATCCTTCCTCGTTCTCTGCTTCAGAACATGCAAACAAATTTTCTGATTATTAGACAATTTTTCAAAGTGATAGCTTGCCTTCTCTATTATCATAGTGGAAATAGTGAACAGAGCAAACAAACCTTTAGCTACCATATCTGTCTTCTCCTGTTGAGTTTCCTGTTCCTCCTCTTCCTCCTCTTCATCCTCATCCTCCTCTCCCGGTGGCTCCAATTGTTTTTCTCGATATCTTTGCATTCTGAATTCATTGGCGTTTAGCGGTCGGTGACGCACTATCAGACGCGTATTGTTTGGCTGCTGTCCGACTTTCTGACGTCGTTTGCTCAGTCGTACACGCGTCTCCAATTCATTGTAATAAACCTGCAGTGTACAAGTGGATTAACATAACATCACAAAATTATAATACGTCATATAATAGTGATGCTCATATACCCCGTCTTGTCTTATCACAAGGAAGTAATTCTCCTCGTATCCTTTGGAAGCTTTGCTTTTGACGTTCCAATTGTATTCTCTCGCCATTTTATATTCATACTCCTCTTCATCGGCGTAACTGATACTAGCAGTAAAGTCTCGTCGGCGTTTCTCCAAAGTTTCTTCCAATGGCAAAAAGTAAGCTACAAACTGCTCACCACTCTCATCCATCACACCTCTGCAAGAAAAATTAACATTATTTTGCACAATAATATCTAAATTAATTAGATTCTAAGGCAAATAATAATTCTTTTCATTACATATGCCTTGCTTTTCTCTTGTATTGCATAAAATTACTGAGCGAGGAAAGGAAAGAGGAGAGAGATATTACCTTATCATGGCTTGTGACATTTCTTCAATTTGTGCGGGTACAGATCGACCAGTTGGTGCAGGATCAGAATCAAATATGACTTGCGCACATGGATATTTCCATAACTAAAAAATTGTAAAAATTGTAATTATACGATATGTAATGACAATATTGATGTATTAATATTTCCAACAGACGTTGCAATAGTACCTTAAAATCTGGATATATTGGCAATATTTCTATAGGTACTACGTTCGGTTTACTGTAGTGTCTTTCAATTGGCTTTTTATTGTCTTCGAATGTCTTTTCTATAGCTTTTATCTGACTCTCACGGTCCATATACAGAGTTTCCTCCTGATTAAAAATAATAGAAATATAGAAGAGGAACATGTATTGTATTAATTTTTTAGACATTTCAATTAAAATATTTTAACAGGATAATATCAGATTGGTTCCACAAGAAATCATATTTAGAAAGATACTTATCCTTCTTTTTGAACCATTCGTTATGCCATAAAATAGGTACAATTTGTATAATTTAGCTTGGTAGATAGAGCGGTTTTATTGTTACATCCATCATTTCATTAAAAAAAAACTTACAATTTGTAGTAGATACATTGATAAATAATGGTTATCCAATAAAACTAATTTTTAGAAAAATTGATAATAGATTAAAACATTTTAATAGCAACAAAACTCAACAACGTGGAATCACAACATAAGGATGTTAAAGAAAGGAGGATCATATTCTTTCCATACATAAAAAAGACTTCCAAAATGGTAGACTCAGCCATTAACAGAAATGAATTTATGATTGGATTTAAATGCTTTAACAAACTGAAAAACATCATTAAGAGACATAAAGATAAAGATCCGGATGATTACAATAATAATGTCATCTATAAAATTAATTGTAAAGATTGCGATGCATCATATGTCGGTCAAACAAAGAGACAGTTGAAAGAGTAAATGAACATAAGAAGAATATATATCAGGATACATTAAGAATATATATCAGGATATAAAAATATATATCAGGATATCAGAAGACATTCAGTTATCACTGGTCATAGATTGGAATATAAATAAAATTAAAAAGAAAATAGACTTTATACGAAAAATAAACATTGAAAAAATGGCATTGTAAGAGTCAATAAATTAAATGATAATATTTTAAGTAACAAATACAATCTATATTTAATTATACCAGTTATGACATAAAAACTAGAGAATATAATTAATATAACTTAACACTTAATATAACTTAAAATTACTTATAATCTAAATTCAACATCAACGCTAATGTCAAATCTGAAGAGAACTCTATAATTGAGTCGAAACTAGTAATTACATAGCATATAGTTCCATCGTTTAATGTTAGATTATAAGTAGTTTTAAGTTGTATTATATATATATATATATATATATATATATATATATATAAATATAAGTGTTACATTATATTAATTATATTCTCTAGTTTTTATGTCATAATTTTTAATGTTATTGATTATTGTTATATAAGAGTCCTTGAATTTTTCAATTTATTTATCGAAAAGAATTAATAAAGATTATTGAATGTTTATGCTTTGTTTTCTTCTGTTCTTTGTTTGATATTGGTTAGAAGTCATAAGGCATTGGTTAATATTTGCCACTTAATATACAATTATCAATAAAACCAGAAGCATGTAATAGAACACAATTCTCCGTATAAGTTAGCTTAAGATTTGTGTTACTTCATTTATTATGTTAGATTAATTGTAGTTCATTTCTCATATTTAGATCAAACATCATAAATTATGTCGCCACTTTATATTGTTAAATTTTATTTGATTGACTTATATAAATTTTATATTAAGTAATTGCGACTAAAGACTTTGTAAAGTCGAAACTAGTTTTGCTATATTCAATGTATATTGATCAGTAAAATTATTATATTTATAAAAACTTTATATTTGCTTGTCTTTCACCGTTATTTATATTTTTATTGTATTTAGAAATATAGAAATATTGCGATAATAACAGATTGTACCTTGAAATTCTTCTTGATACTGTAGCCAACTTTGGCTTCAACCTTGTCTGCTGTTTGCGGCTGGAATCTCGTGCTTTCCGTAGAGATATATTCCGTGCGTCTCAACCATGATACACTCCTGGCATGATGCCGAGAACGTTTAGAATCTTGAGGTGTGAGAACATCTTCCTCCAACAGCTTTTCATCAGCTGGATCTAATTGAATGTTTGGATCTCCCGCATACGTATCCTTATTTATTAAATCAATTTCTACACCTAAATCATGTTCTGTTAATACTTCATACTTGTAATTACGCTCTAATGAGGTTGGATTATATTGAATAAACCTGTATTACAAATATGATAATTATTACAAGACAAAAGGATGTAACGATAGTTTGACGAATCACATACTTACCTGGTTGGTTCAAAGGGATAAGCTATAAATTTTGGATCAAATGGGATATCTGGCAGCGTGTTGCAATATTTCACTCTGCATATGAGCTCAGATCTGAAAAAACACGAGTCGTTATAACAACACTATAATTGTACTCATGATTATTCACTGGGAGGCGAGGCTTGTTTACCGCTTCTCCGCTGGTCTGACCACGCGTTTATCCCGATCAGCTTGATTACTGTTGGTTTGGATGGTAGGTGCCATTTTTTTTATAGCGTCATAAACAAAAATCTAGGAATTGTAAGGGACTGTGCAGAATAAAAGGAACAGAGAATAAGGATGCAGCCACAATAGAAGGAATAGGGAATTAATCTTAGTCTTAGTAAAATGGCCCCTTCCTCTTCTTTAATTAATGGCTCCCGTCTCCAAATAAATAATAAAGGAGATCGTTACGGCCAGATCACGTCTTTAATGAATATCGTATAAAAATGAAAACAAACCGAGTGATGTAATGCCCACGAAAATGTAGCCCGAACGGACACTGGGCGTCTACGTCTACGACGTCGTCACATCGCAATAACGCGCGTCAGAACTGGTCAGAACGAACAAGTCGAGCCCAACCGCGGACACACATCAGAGTCAATGCACAATCAAAGTCGGTAACACTTTCAAAAATATACAAATAACGAGCACGCAATCCAAAACGTGTCCGTCACCGTCAAATGGTTCATCAGAACTGTCCAGGGTATCGATCATGAAACTTTTTCCTTTTTCACTTTTCACATTACGAATTTCACGTGAAAGTGTTTAACGTGAAAAATGAAAAAGATTTATTACATTCTGCATGGTATACGATTCGTAATGTACTAATTAATGCGTGGTTTAATTTGAAAAGATATATTGCTTAACGTTGATTTAGTCATGATTTAGTTATCATGGATTTAGTTATCTATAACATAAATATATTTCTCTATCGTAAATTTTTGCAATGTGAAACTTTTCACGTGAGTTTTCAGTGAATGGTTATATGTCCTCTTTTCATGAGTAAAGCGGGGAGCACAGACTTTAAATGATATCTTTTCATGTAAATTTTTCACCATAAGTGAAAAACGTTACGCATGCGTATTATACAGTTAAGACAATAGTAATATACGTGTCTAGTTTGAATTAGAGTACCTATAGGTACTCTAGTTTGAATCCGCTATGAACGCACCCAGTATCTTAATAAAAGCTTTATTTATGAAATAAAATACGTTTTTAGTGTTATACAAATATGAAATTTTGTGTACAAATAAATATGCAATTTTTATATCAACTTCATAGAAATAATTTTTTCTATTTTATTTATATATAAAGCAACATAAACTAATAGATTAATTAATTTATTTTAACTTAACCTAACAGTTAGTTAATAACAATGTATGTCATTTTCAATTGTACAATTTTTGTAATTATGTTAACTTTTATATAATTATATAATTATTAACATATAATGACATCAATCTTCTAAAATAAACGTTACGTTATAAAACGATAAAAGTTTCGATTCCTTCTTGCTTCGACATTTTACACAGATATGCATAAATTTCTAAAACTTTCAGTGTTAGCCAAGTTGTCGACAAGCCAGTCAGACAAAAAAATCCCATCGATAAGCGCTTTCTTTCAGTTCGATGGGGCTGCCGAAATTTTTCGATTGAATTTTACATTTTATGTGACATTTTCATTTTTCACAAGTTCACTTAAAATTTTTCACTTTTCACAATTCACGCTAGGGAAAAAGTTTCATGATCGATACCCAGGGGGTCAATCACATACCTTTTCCCCTAGGACGGAAACGTGAAAAGTGAAAATTTTTTGCATGATGTGTGTATGTATATGTTCATACATCATTCATAAAAGTTTTCACGTTTCCGCCCTAGAGAAAAAGTTACGTGATTGACCCCCTGAACTCCAAGGTGGAACCATCAACCAAAACGCTCACGCAACGCTCATGCGACCAATAAGGGGTGCGTTCCGAGTTAAGGACGTTCACCGGCTAATCGATTTCTATACAAAATGCTTCAAATTTTAACTACATGATATTAATATCATTATCGATATATCCTCCAAAATTCAGAAAATTTAGCGGTACCGAATTCGAGTTATTAATTTTCAAAGTTGCAGCTTTTAACATGTAAGGTATAGCCCAAGCGTGCGCTCAAGTGACATTTCAATTCATAGCGACTGTGATATCTATACGATTGTTCTAAAAAATTAGGATATGATGCAGGATGATGCTAGAAATAACATAAAAAAAAAAATGGGGATCCGTAGCGGTGCCGTTTTTGAATTATCGAAGTTCGAAGTGGTGTATCCAACAGCACTTGAAGTAAGTCGCCGCATGGAAGGAGAGCCGTTGCTATGAGACGGGTCTCCGCTTTCCTCAACAGGCTAGTGTGCGTGTATACATACAAGGCATCGAACCCCGTTTGCTTGTGCTTGAGTACACTCAGCAGAAAAAGTATTGGCATGGGAAGCGGAGTGGGGAGAGACATGCGCTATGCACCGAGAAGCGAGCGAGCAGTAAACTTTTGGCTACGATTGTAGCCGGTGAACGTCCTTAATAGTTCAAGACGACAAAGCGGCTAAGTACGCTTGCCGAGCGATCGAATATGATTGGTTGGATCTATAAGTAATAACCAATTATGTTGAATCGCTCGGCAAGCGTACCTAGCCGCTTTGCCGTCTTGAACTCGCCCAATGGCAGCTGCACCGAGAAGCGAGCGAGCAGTAAACTTTTGGCTACGATTGTAGCCGGTGAACGTCCTTAAGCGGGGAGCACAGACAATGGGCGAGTTCAAGACGACAAAGCGGCTGTACGCTTGCCGAGCGATCGAATATGATTGGTTGGATCTATAAGTAATAACCAATTATGTTGAATCGCTCGGCAAGCGTACCTAGCCGCTTTGCCGTCTTGAACTCGCCCAATGGCAGCAGTAGTAGTGAATGAGACTGTAAAAGTAAGAAATTGACCAATCACGGTCGATTATTCTTCTCACATTCGTCTGTGATTGGTCAATTTCTTACTTCTACAGTCTCATCCACTACTGCTACTGCCATTGTAGACCACGCATCATGGGCCTTCTACAATAAGCCATAAGTCATAAATCGGAAGTAAGAAACTAAAAATTGAAGACTGTGATTGGTCCATTTCTAGCTTATGACTTATGATTTGTGATTTACGGCTTATTGTAGAAGGCCCATCATACGTACAAAAATTTTAGTAGAATCGTAAGGTCTTAAGCAAATCGACCAATCACAGTTTAGCATATTAAAATGTGAACCGTAAATCTTGATTGTGATTGGTCGATTTGCTTAAGACATTACGATTGCTACTAAAATTTTTGTACGTGTGATGGCCTTAACCTGTGTAATCTAGTAAATTTTCAGAATCGTATGTTACGTTATGCTATTGGGCGAGTTCAAGACGACAAAGCGGCTAGGTACGCTTGCCGAGCGATCGAGTATGATTGGTTGGATCTATAAGTAATACCCAATTATATTCAATCGCTCGGCAAGCATACCTAGCCGCTTTGCCGTCTTGAACTCGCCCATTCTTTGATTAGGATTCACATAGGGCGTATTTTACGGAATTGCGTAAAATGTGTAACTAATACAACCAATCGCTGATTAGAGTTTCCGTTGTATGTACATACATTCTAATAGAAATTCTAAACGATCTTATAATTGGTTTTCGTAACCTACGCATATCGAAAAATACGCCCTATATGTGGTAAAAAATACAGAAAATCACTGCCTCACCTCAAAATCGATCAAATGAGGCTTATTCAACGCGTTTTTGCATGAAACGAAAGAATCTGGCAGAAAAAAGTATCGCTCTGCCCTACGAACCGAAATATTTAGCGTTAAAGTTGACGATTATGGAGGTTAGGAAATCTGTCATACCGACTACATGTAGTGCATGAAGTAAGAGTAAGAGCCCCAACACACACTTTTGCATAATAAAAAAGCGCGCTTTTATCTCTGAAATTCTATAGTATACGTGACGTAAACTGTATGTAGCATGTTAGCGCGCTAACATCGTTGTTAGCGCGTTCTGAATACGGGCCAATATATATATCGAATCGGGATGACAGATATCTTAACCTGTAAAGTCTCGAACTTTAACGCTTAATAACTTGGTTTACAAGGCCGATCCCCGCATTTTTCTTGTAGATTCTTTCGTTCTGAGTGAAATCGCGACGAATGATTATAATTTTATTAAGATTTTAAGAGAGCAAGCTATACTCTACCTTTTAGAAGATAAATACGTGTCTTAAACGTATAAAATTATATTCATTCGTCGTGTTTTCACTCAGAACGAAAGAATCTATAAGAAAAATGCGGGGATCGGCCTTGTGAACCGAGTTATTAAGCATTACAGTAGTTCGAGACTTTACAGGTTAAGATATCTGTCATCCTGATTCGATATATATTATGTATATGTGTACACATACGTGTATGTACACAGTCGCAAGTATACTGCACACATATAAATATTCAATATGGCGATGAAATGTTGCAAGTTATTCCGTTCGGCGGACATGGCAGTGCACGGAACATTTTTCGTGACCAAGTTTTTTCTCCATATCCTATCTAGTTAAGGGGGAAAACGCACCGAGAAATTTCGAAAATTATGAATTTTCGTGTTTTTGCTTTTCTTCAAGCTTAACCTCTTAAGAATGTCTGGTGAAAGCCGTATGCAAAAATTCGAAAAAATAACGGAGTTAGGGCTCAGTCAGACGAGCGATTTTGTAGCGCCACAATTGCAAACGTTGACCTGTTCATACGGAGCTATTTTCTGGTGCTACAGAAAAGCGTCGCGAATATGTTCACATGAGCCAATTCGTGATGCGACGAAAAATGTTGCGGACTTGCGGATGCGTTCAGATGGATGGACCTGGCATGGATGATTCTATTGCTGGATTCACACTGCATCCGATTTTCGTCGTACGACGACTCTGCAACTAATCAGGAAACAAAATTTTGCTTCGTATCGATGATATGATTTTTCTGATTGGTTGCAAAGTCGTCGTACGACGAAAATCGGATGCAATGTGAATCCAGCATATGTAAGTTGAAGAATTTTGCGATTTATTCATTGCTCAACTTTCAAACGCGTTTTTCTCGAAATCATGTTTTTGAAGTCGGTACGCAAGATATCTGGAAAACTAATGAACCGATTGCAATTATCTTTTTTTGTGCTTATTCTATACATAATTACCTAGTCTTTGTCATAAGGTTTTTTTTTAATGGCTTAGTTTTTTTTTAATCGGCGAAATAAGGTCGTATTTTCCTCTAAAAATCGCTATGTAAATTCAAATGTCCGCCATTTTGTCAAAAATCGATATTTTTAAAATCGCCTATGACAAAGACTAGATTATACTGTCCAGTTTAATAATCTTTTTGGTTTTTTTTATTTTGATGATTACAGATGAAGCAGGAGTGTGTACCGCGGAGGGCCTTTTATTTGCGGCACTTCACGGACCACAGGATTACTCGGCGAATATTGGATATTTTTCAATAAAAAAAATTGACATATTCTTAAAAATGTGTATTATCATTTATAAAAAGAATCGGTTTGATTACTGCTTATAGGTTTCCTTTCAAAAAATCCAGAAAAATGGCTTTTTTTCGCGCTACTCGGTGCGTTGTCCCCTTTAAGTCTCCTTAGGCTGGAGTCACATTGAGCGGTAATTACAGCGGAACGGAATAGTGAAACCAATCAGAACTCTACAATCATTCCGCTGCTTTACTATCTGCGATTGTGATTGGTCTCGCTGTTCCGTTCCGCTGTAATTACCGCTCAATGTGACTCCAGCCTTAGGGTGCAAACCCATGCAGCGGAATAGCATAACGCGGAACGAGAGCAGAACCAATAACGAGCATTCCGTGTTTCTAAAGAAACTCGTGATTGGTTCTGCTCTCGTTCCGCGTTACGCTATTCCGTTGTATGGTTTTGCACCCTTAGAGCCCCAACATATACTTTTGCATAACGCATAAAACATGTGCATAAGGAATTTCATTGGTCCATTTTCTCTTATGCATGAGAAAATGGACCAATGAAATTCCTTATGCACATGCTTTATGCGTTATGCAAAAGTCTGTGCTCCCCGCTTTAGGCCTATCGCACATGAATTGCATAACTGTGCATAAGCATAACATAATGCCACTGGACCAATGAGCATCTTATGTTAATCAATATGGCGTCTTTATGCTGGATGCTCATTGGTCCAACGGCCTTATGTTATGCTTATGCACAGTTATGCATAACATAAGGCTGCTGGACCAATAAGCATTTTATGTTAATCAATATGGGGTCTTTATGCTGGATGCTCATTGGTCCAGCGGCCTTATGTTATGCTTATGCACAATTATGCATTTCATGTGCGATAGGCCTTAAGCGGGGAGCACAGATTTTTGCATAACGCTTAAACCCAAAGACATAGAGAATGGACTGCGCGATCCGTGTGTCAAAATGGTCAACAAAAATGAGAGAGAGGGACCGTGAAAGACGGCCATCTCCCTCTCATTCTCTCTTCCATTACACCATGGAATGGAAAAAGATAGAGATGGCCGTCTTCCACGGACCCTCTCTCTCATTTTCGTCGACACATTTTGATACTACATAGATACGGGATCGCGCAGTCCATTCTCTATGGCCGGTATTTATAGTCAGTTCTTATATTCAAGACCATCTTAAGTTCAGTCTTGAGGAGTTACGAACCAATCAGAGGGCCGCTTTAGCATCTTAAGACATTACTTAAGACATTCTTGAAATAAGAACCGACTATGAATACCGGCTTATGTCTTTGGCATAAACCATATACATAAAGAATTTGATTGGTCCATTGACTCATGCATAAGAAAATGGGCCAATGAAATTCCTTATGCACATGCTTTATGCGTTATGCAAAAGTCTGTGTTTCTCGTTTTACTTCATGGCTACTGTATATATTGGCTGCGTTCAGTGCGTTCCGCAAAGCGCATATGCACGCATTTTATATAGGCTGTCTTCCCATAAATTATTTGAATTTAGCGGCGAGAAATCACGTTTTTAAAGTCAATCTTATTAGAAAATACCGTAATTCAATACTGTATGTAGAAGTACTAAGCAAATGCATTTTGAATTTGCCGCTTAATGTGACGTACACTGAGGCTGTCTTCCCATAGTCCCTTTGCCAGTCAGTAAAATAATATTACTAGGGTGACGTCATCTTACTGACTAGAGAAGTGTTTCCATTCTAGCCAGTAAAAAGTGACGTCAGGATTTGTTGCGTTTCTATGCCCTACGCTTTCTACAGTTTTCGTTTCATATTACAGTTTCATTTCATATTTTCGTCATCAGTGATCTTCATTGAATAGGTAAGTAAATAATATATATTCCACGTAGCAATGTTTACTTGCAACTCTGTAATATTTCGGTACC